ACTCCAACTGTCCAATACTAGGCATACTTCACTTACCTGGTGTCATTAATCATCGATACTTTGTGCAAATTCCATTTACCCTGAATCAAAATTGAAATATGTCAACAAATCCTCTGATGTTAATATAATTTTTTCATCACTTTATTATTGGGCCGGATCGACTTGGGGCCGCATCAACCTGGGATGAGGTAGCAATACACAGTTAGGAAAAAAACTTAAAATTGACACTCAAAATTTTTAAACATCCTCTTTCCCTTCCTTTCTAACAAATAAGGCTTAATATTTGTGTTATGCATGTGTATATTTATAGAAAGAGAATCTTCCATAGATTTGATTTCTAATGGTTATAATGGTGAAATATAATCTCTTTTGGGTGTAACCATGGCAACAATCTGCATTTCTTTGATACAAAATATTGCATAAAAGGGGGGTGAACATGTCACAAAAGTCTCCAAAATTTGATCCAAAGGAAAATTTCAATCAATTACAGTGATACCTTTCCTGAATCCATAGACATATATCTATCAAGAGGTCCAAAAAAAATCATATGCATTTCTGCTCGTTTTTCCATAAAATTGAATTGAAAAGATCGAGCGCAAAATCTTTGTTGATAAATACTACAATAATTTATGAACCTATGGGCGGTACGGATAGGAAAATACGGACTGTCAAACAGAAAAATTGCCTATAAAACATGCTAAAAACAATCTAAATGTTCATATAAATCCACTAAGAAGGCTATATTATTCTTCAATTATCTAAAAATCTATTTTATTGTACAAAAACTTTCATATTTAAAAAATTCACCATGGCCATAATGCGAAACTAAACTTCTAACTGTGTATTGCTACCTGAAACGACTTGGGACGGATCAACTTGGGGCCGGATCGGTTTGGGGCCAGAACAACCTGATACCTATTCTGCTAATATTGTCAATCCTTACTGGACATCACAGAAGTTCCCATAAAATTTTGACGTCACAACAGAAGATGTCTGATGCCTCAAAGGAAAAGTGATTGTTGGATGAAGACAATAACTCAAGTGTTGCAAATTCTCAGGTCAAGTGTTACAGATTTCCAATTAGCGATAAGGTCTATTAGATTGGGTACATAGTCCTATTAAAATATGATGGGCTCCTCTGAGAGTTTATTTAAGAAATAATTCATGGAAGCCATAGATTTTTGGAAATTTACACATGGCCATAATATTCAAATTTTATCCTGAGCGTTAGCGAGGGATAAAATTAACGAATATCAAAGCCCAGGCCATGAGAGTCAGGGGTGCTACTTGTACAAGTTATTTTTATTTTCTTAAAGAAGTTAATGCTACTATACTTATATAAGTAAATTTATTATATTCATATTTTCTTATAAGGTTTGATTAATCTCCCCTTAATTTTCTCAAAAAATGTACTTGTATAAGTAACTTTTTTTTACAATCCCTAAAATTCTCAAGTTTTGGGATGTAAAAACATGCCTTTAACAATTTTTCTCTGGTTAGCTCATAATTTTTCATTACAGTTCAAAGTTTCATCTCATTAATTCAACAAAGAAACTAATTGGGCAAGGCCTTAAAAAATTGCCCCTTGGGGGCTTGTAAATGGGCATTGTTTTGAAGATAACAGACAAATGAGATTTTCATTGTCCATGAAATTACACTTAAATGATTTAGTAAAGACATCTGCAAAGGGCAAACAATTAAAAATTCTATTTAGAGCAAAGAAGTCCTGAGAAATTCAAGAAAAGAAGATAGTATGACTTTTTTACTTCAAGACTTAGTCTTGTATAAGTAAACAAATCTGAATGTCTAAGGGACATAACAAAGCCACTAAAATAATTTACCTATACAAGTAAATAAAATACACTTGTATAAGTATCTTACAATAAAATTGAGAAATTTACTTATATAAGTTTATTAATATTTACTTCTTCAAGTAAATAAAAATAACTTGTACAAGTAGTACCCCTGACTGCATGTATAAATTTCCAACAAATCTATGGTTTCTATGAATTATTTTGATTCTAATAGGACAAATACGGTTATTTAAAAAACTGAAGCGAGGGTGGGTATGCTGCCTGTGTGGTTGTTCTATTTTACCCCTTGTTAGATAAAGGTAATAATTTCCAATAAATCTATAGCTTGCATGAATTATTTCTTAAACAACCACCAGAAAAAAAATATGTTTAATTCTTTTAATTCTCAACCCCAACAGTTGCCATTTTTAATTTACATTTTTTCTTGTTAGCTACTGTCAAATCCGCAGTTGACATTTCGTAACTAAGAAGTCGCCATGTTGACTTGCTGAAATCAGTAAATGTGCGAATAATGCAATAGAATAGAAAATAAAACAACACATACCTCAAAACTCCATTTTAATGCAATATTATCTGAATTTGGAGGGTTCACGCAACAGAAAAACCTTCAGCTTTGGGGTTTTCATTCATATGACGTCATGTTTAATTTGAAATGACTTCAATGCACCAAAATGCATTAATGGAATTTCATGGAATTATATTTTATTTTGATTTTGTACATTTTTCCGAGCTCTAATGCATTAATTCTTTTTGCTATGCATCAAAATCAGAATAAAGGTTCTGTAGTTTTTTTTAATTGCAGTTTTTAACACGGTGAAATCGGCATAGCGTTTGTATAGCATGTGGATTTACGTGGGAGGTATATTGTAACAGCCATTATTATGTACATATCTGAGTCTGCGCTAAGTATAGATATAGCGTGAATTTTATCACAGTGTTGTTTACAAAGGGAAAGAAGCATGTCATATTAGAATTCGATTTAAATTTGTATAGATACCTCACTGTTTCAAGAAGGCCTGTAAGCGTATGTAGAAAAATCCATCCATGGCGTCATAATTATTAGCATGATTAGGACTAATGGGTTTACCTAATGCTTTTTGTCGAGCCTGCGACTTTTGTCGCAGAAAGCTCGACATAGGGATAGTGATCCGGCGGCGGCGGCGGCGGCGTTAGCTAACTTCTTAAAAGCTTTATATTTTAGAAGGTGGAAGGTCTGGATGCTTCATACTTTGTATATGGATGCCTCATGTTACGAAGTTTCTGTCAGTCACATGTCCAATGTCCTTGACCTCATTTTCATGGTTCAGTGACTACTTGAAAAAAAAGTTCAGATTTTTTGTAATGTTAGATTCTCTCTTATTATAAGTAATAGGATAACTCTATTTAGTATGTGCGTACCTTGCAAGGTCCTCATGCCCGTCAGACAGTTTTCACTTGACCTCGACCTCATTTCATGGATCAGTGAACAAGGTTAAGTTTTGGTGGTCAAGTCCATATCTCAGATACTATAAGCAATAGGTCTAGTATATTCGGTGTATGGAAGGACTGTAAGGTGTACATGTCCAACTGGCAGGTGTCATCTGACCTTGACCTCATTTTCATGGTTCAGTGGTTATAGTTAAGTTTTTGTGTTTTGGTCTGTTTTTCCTATACTGTATGCCATAGGTCTACTATATTTGGTGTATGGAATGATTGTAAGGTGTACATGTCTAGCGGGCAGGTGTCATCTAACCTTGACCTCATTTTCATGGTTCAGTGGTCAAAGTTAAGTTTTTGAGTTTTGGTCTTTTTTTCTAATACTATATGCAATAGTTCAACTATATTTGGTATGTGCGTACCTTGCAAGGTCCTCATGCCCGTCAGACAGTTTTCACTTGACCTCGACCTCATTTCATGGATCAGTGAACAAGGTTAAGTTTTGGTGGTCAAGTCCATATCTCAGATACTATAAGCAATAGGTCTAGTATATTCGGTGTATGGAAGGACTGTAAGGTGTACATGTCCAACTGGCAGGTGTCATCTGACCTTGACCTCATTTTCATGGTTCAGTGGTTATAGTTAAGTTTTTGTGTTTTGGTCTGTTTTTCTTATACTGTATGCAATAGGCCTACTATAGTTGGTGTATGGAATGATTGTAAGGTGTACATGTCTAGCGGGCAGGTGTCATCTGACCTTGACCTCATTTTTCATGGTTCAGTGGTCAAAGTTAATTTTTTGAGTTTTGGTCTTTTTTTCTAATACTATATGCAATAGTTCAACTATATTTGGTGTATGGAAATAATTTTTGATCTATTTGTCAGTCACACAGTTTTTTTTTTACCTTGACCTCATTTTCAAGGTTCATTGCTCAGTGTTAAGTTTTTGTGTTTTGGTCTGTTTTTCTTAAACTAAAAGCAATAGGTCAACTATATTTGTTGTATGGAAGAATTGTTAGCTGTACATGCCTGCCTAGCAAGATTCATCTGACCTTGACCCCATTTTCATGGTTCATTGGTCAATGTTTAGTTAACTTGGTTAATAATAAGTTTATGTGACGGTTATAATAAAGCTTTATATTTAGGACTATCAACATAATATCAATGATAAGTAAAGAAGGCGAGACATTTCAGTGTGTGCACTCTTGTTCGTATTTTGTGTCAGAATCGATTTTCAGATTTGACTGCCATCAGAATCCCTTATCAAGCCCAATAAAGTCAATTTGGGAAAAATTTTACAAACTACCTCATCTCAAACCGGTGTGTTTAACACTTACATCACTATTCTTTACACCTGAAGTAGGTAAGAATTCAATAGGAGACATCATATGCCTTTCAGAATCCATCAAAATTTGGAAAATACCTTACCTTGTACAATAGTTATAGATCCATTTTGTCGTTTGATCAACGGTCTTTGACCTGTGACATTTCTGTAATTTGATTACAAAAAACTAAATGAAAGAATTGTTTTGGGAAAATCCTTATTTTTTGGATAGTGGTTGTCAGTTAAAGGCTACAGAAAATCAGTTTGCTGAAAAACTGACCGAAAAGGTTTTGTTGTGCTTTACAGTATGGATCACATGAAAAAATCGTGAAATGACAACAAAATGGTAAATTTAAAAAAAAAATGAAAATTTGTGACAAAAAGGATCATTACAATCTTACTGTTCATTACTTAATGATAATGACAGAATTTGTTTATATTTTTCAGGCATGGCTGAATGACCATGATAATGGTGAATTTGGGCTATTCATTGATGGAAAATGGGTGAAACCTGATGGAAGAAAGACATATCAGACAAAAAATCCAGCAACCGGTTAGTATACTCTGATTCTGAAAATTTCTGTTTTTCTCTAAACATTTTAAACTGTATATCACAATGTATATTCTCAACCTTTACCATACTTGCCAACCTCTGACAATGAGAAATCATGTCATGACATGACATGACATGTCAAAAAGCGTGTAAAAACGTGTGACGTAGATGCGGACTTTTTAATATGAACAATGTTCATAATTTCACATTATATGCAAATTTGTTAATATAAAAAACAATATTCAACTGTAAACTTTTATTGTATTCAACAGTGGTCTGTTTTGCTGCTTTTAAAGCAACACCACTAGGCACATAGTCAAAACACCTGCTGGTTTGGATACATTTACTTGATAACAAGGCACACAATATATCATTGTCGAGTTCTGATCAGAATTCAGTGTAAATTTCTTTATAATTGAAAATGATCTCTCACAGTCAGAATTGATATTTGGCTGAACTAAAATAGCTTCATGAAGCTTTGAAAGAGTGTCATAATGTTTTTTTGCCATCTAAAATGTCATCTATGATCTCTGCCATTGCTCCCAACAAACTATACAATATATGTTGCTATTGCCTGGTCAAAACTGGGTAGTTCATCAGAAGACAGCTAATACTATGAGAACTGATCCAACAGTTCCGTGATATTTCCATCCCCTATGGCCTGTGGAAATCTGTTGGCTACATTTGAAACTGAAAAAGAACAATATTTTATAATTGTTAAATGCTTAATCAAATAGCTATGTATTTTAGTTCTCCTCTCATATGTATTGTTATGATTGCAACATAGAGTGCACAATGCGTTACTCATCCCTCCATGATTTAAACTCGAACTCCCAAATATAATTTATAAATCTTGAATCTTGGTAAGTACACATCGTTTTCGCTTAGAAATCGGCTCTTTAGACGACGGTACAGGTCCTGAAAGCTACCTCTTTCTGTGGACATTTCCCCTAAGTGAATTTGAAAGAAAGAAAGTCCCAAAATCGTAAAAACTAATCACAAACTACTTACCTTAAGCGCTTTTGCTGTTCGTCCATATAGAAAAATAAACAATGGCCACCAAACAATTACTTCGAAATTTCGGTATTTATCGTGTTATAATGAAAAAAACCGAGAATCGCGATATCACTAACAATCAAAACAACGAAAAAGCGTGTAATTGCGTGTAAAGTGGTGAAAAGTGTGTACACGCCATGTGATAAAATCCTCGCGTGTAAACCGTTGAAAAAGCGTGTATTACATGCGAATATCATGTCAGTTGGCAACTATGTCATATTCTAAAGAAAATGTTATATTTATTCATGACACAAAACTGCTACATGCACTTGACAAATAGGAGAAAGAAAAAACAGTTTTTTTATAGCTGTTCGTCATCTCAAAATTACTTTGAGGCCTTAAACACGTGGCAAACACTTGCACCTCACTGCAAGTTCAAGACCAATATGCACAGTGGACAGGTAAAAATGACAAAGTCTGCATAATCTATAGTGTTAAAGATAAGAGAAACTATTGTAAAATATATTTCATTAGGTGAACCACTGGCAACAACTATACAAGGAGAGCAAGAAGATGTAGACTTGGCTGTGAGTTCAGCAAAGAAGGCGTATGAGACTTGGAGTAAGACACCAAATCATGTCCGAGCAAGACATTTGTACAGGTAGGTGTAATGAAAAATTGAAATCAACATAATTGTGTCACCTGAAAGCCTTTTCCTATCTATATTAAAATAAGGAGATGTGGTATGATTGCCAATGAGATGACTTAGCTAGCCAGAGTTATAATGAAGTGGTAGTATTAAAGTACTAGTAGTAAGCAATTATGAGCCAAGGTACAGCCTTCAACAATGAGAAAAACTGATATAATATAGTGAGCTATTAAAGGCCCCAACATGAAAAATTTGAAATAATTCAAACGAGAAAACCAACATCCTAATTTGTAAAAAAAACACTTTGCCAAAAAACAAATATGAACGACATGAAACAATGACATCCACTGTACTACAGGATCCTGACTTGGTCACATGAACCAATGACATCCACTGTACTACAGGACCCTGACTTGGTCACATGAACCAATGACATCCACTGTACTACAGGATCCTGACTCGGTACAGGCACATAGGGTGAACTTTTGGTACCATTAAAACGTTTAAACCCGCTGCATTTGTTTGCACCTGTCCTAAGTCAGGAATCTGATGTTCAGTAGTTGTTGTTTGTTGATGTGGTTCATAAGTGTTTCTCGTTTCTCGTTTTTTATATAGATTAGACCGTTGGTTTTCCCGTTTGAATGGTTTTACACTAGTAATTTTTGGGGCCCTTTATAGCTTTCTGTTCGGTGTGAGCCAAGGCTCCGTGTTGAAGACCGTACTGTGACTTATAATGGTTTACTTTTATAAATTTTGACTTGGATGGAGAGTTGTCTCATTGGCACTCATACCACATCTTCTTATATCTACATAAAAAGAATATTGCAATTAATTCAATTCATGGACAAAAGAAAAAAAGACCAACAGACAAAACAATTATCCACTTAACACTACACAGAAAACTAAAACTAAATATTTTGATTTTTATAGCATCGCTAGACACATACAGAAACACATGAGGCTGTTCAGTGTTGTAGAAGCCATGGATAATGGTAAAACATTCCGAGAGACTAGAGATGCTGACATACCGATCGTGGTCCGTCATTTCTATCATCACGCAGGCTGGGCTCAGTTAATGGATACAGAAATGAGAGGATGGAAATCTGTTGGTAAATAAGAAGTTAAAGGTTGCTTTATATCCTGTTAAAACTATTACATTCATACTTTAAGGGGGGGAAAGGCGAGTGAAAAGAAAAAAAAAATAAGGTTAGGTTTGTGTTACATGTAGATACATGTATATTTTGATGTTTTACTAGAAATTATAATGGATGTCTAGATTTTTGGGTAAAGGTTGCATGAAATGCAATCAAAACCCTATGGTACTGACTAGATTTCTAAATCTTCCAAGTTTGATCACTACTTTTGATATACACAAAATATAGTGCATTGATCATAACATTCTATACATCCTATCCATGAACATTTCCTGAAATTTATCAATGAAATATATGCTCAGATATTCAAGTTACAATATGATATTATACTTGTTGAGAAAATTACATAACTTTTGCAAGGTGCAGGAATCTAATATCTGTTATATATAACAATAAACAAAGATATCAATGATGTCATTGTTAAAGTCATTTTTAAAAATTGGAGTTATCTTCCTTTGTCCAGAATTGTAGTTGAATCAACTACAACCAATGCTTTATACAATGCAATATTTAGTTTTTCCTCCCACTGAGGTGCAATCTTTACCCTTCAGTTCTTGCAAGCACTTTGATTCTAAGCAATTGTATTGAAAGAAATGAATGTTTTTACTGTTTTTGATTTTTCTTGCAAATATACACGAGAAGAAATGATTATTATAACTGTCTCTAGATTTTTAGTAGCAAATTTATTAGAAGAAATGAATCTTTTAACTGTCTAAGGATATTTCATAACAAAGGTATACAAAAGTTGAAACTTACACCTAACTTGTCAGTGCATTGGCTGATAGATCAATTTAATAGCATTATGTTTTTACCAGTTTGTTGTGATTTCAAGATTATCTGCAGTCCCCATGATGTTATTTACAATGGACCCCTTATGAGTGCACTAATTAAAAATGTGTAAATATGCACTGCATGTTTTAAAACAAAAGGTCAGTGTACACAGGTTTTTGGTTAACTGCAGGGTTTCAAAAAGTCTAGGGCCTCGGTGGCCGAGTGGTTTAAGTAGTCGAACTACTGTATCACTAGCCAGTCAGCACTGAGGTTTTGAGTTCGAATCCCGCACAGGGCAGGTGCACTTGACTCCAATCTTAATTGACTAGGATTGTCAGTTTTCCTATTGAAGGTCGGTGGTTCTCTCCGGGCACTCTGGCTTCCTCCACCAATAAAAAACCAACCGCCACGAAATAGCACAATAGTGTTGAAAGTGGCGTAAAACACCAATCAATCAATCAATCAATCAACAAGTCTACTTTTCAATTTTATGTATTTTTAAGGTGTAATTGGCGGTATAGTACCCTGGAATTTCCCACTAATGTTACTGACTTGGAAGATCGCCCCAGCTTTAGCCATGGGAAATACAGTGGTCCTGAAACCAGCTACATATACCAGACTCTCAGCACTGCTGCTGGCAGAGGTGTGTGCTGAGGCAGGACTTCCACCTGGTGTGTTTAATGTTATCACAGGAAGTGGAGCAATGGGCAGTAAGCTAGCAGATCACCCTGATGTGGATAAAGTGGCATTTACAGGATCTACAGGGGTAATGTTTAGATAACGGGATGAAATTCAGTCCTGTTTGAAAAGAATAATTTAATTGTTGTTGAAAAAATAATTTGGCCCTAAATGTAAATGGTCCTTTATACAAATATCTTTGAAAGTTTGCATTTATTTTGTTTGATCTGAATGGATATGGGACTATGTGATTTATTTAGAAGGTAGTTTTGGGGTCAAATATATTCGACCATTTGTTGAATCCATTTTGTTACCATATTGCTAAACATGGGGCTATCTAGTACTTGTGATACAGTAACGGTGCTTGTTCGTTATTAAAGTCTAATTTACAACCACAACATGTCATGGGTGTTGCTAGGTTGCTGTCTCGTTGATTTTAAGTTTAGGTTATCTGCTACTCATGCATGTTTTCTGTAATTATATCTGAAATTGCCAGGTTAAATTAAACTATAAAAGAACATTTTTCTTACAGTCGTGCCTATCAAAACATCGAAATGTGACCATATATGATAGTAACTCAAAAAGTGGGAGTAGACTTTAATTGCCTGTTGATTAAACTGTATTCCTGTTGTTCTGTTTTTTTTAGGTTGGTCAGACATTACGTAGACTGACTGCTGGTAGTGGAAAGAAATTATCATTAGAGTTAGGAGGGAAATCTCCCGTAGTTGTATTTGAGACAGCAGACCTGGATAGTACTGTGGAAGGAGTCGTAGATGCAATTTGGTTTAACCAGGGACAGGTAAGTTTTATCTATGATATCGAACCTAGAAACTTGAAATACTAATTATATAGAAGAAAAACTCATCAAAGATACCAGGCTTATTATTTTGTATGCCAGACATGTTTTTTGTCTACATCAGTGACCCTCAAATCAAAAACGTTTAAGACCAAATAAATTACAAAGTTAAAAAGCATTGCACAGAATGCACAGTCACTTTTCATATTATAGAAGATAGTTTTTACCTGTATGGGGCCTCAATGGTGGAAGTAGTTCAAAGACTGTACCACTAGCTTGTCAACACTTACACTGTGAGTTCAAACCCTGCACATGGCAGGTGAGGTAGACTCCAATCTTAATTGAATAGGATTCAGCATTGCCAGTCTTCCTGCTGAAGGTCAGTGCTTCTCTCAGGGCACCCCGGCTTCCTCCACTAATAATGTGGCTGCCACAAAATAGCAAATGGTGATTAAAGTGGCATTAAAACACCAAAACTCAATCATTTTTATACCTGTATGTCAATGTATGTAATAGATCAATATTAAATAAATCATTTTCCAACTCTGACAAAGGAATAGTTTGAAATTTATTAAAAAGCATGATGTAAGGGGTCATTTTTTTTAGTCTTTTTGAGAATTTTGAAATTGCCTACTGATTTTCTTAATGGGTTGGCACTTGATAATAGTTCATTGGACAAAAAAGAATTTAACATTCTGCTGAAAAGATATTAAAAAAAAAAATTCTGATTTGAAATGTCTTTTTAGGTTTTGATGTATTAATTCATTGGTGTATACCACACAAATTCTTTTATTTGCTTTCTGATTAAAATACAGATCCTGTGTTCAAGCTTCGCCTACAAAGATCTGACAACTCTCTGTTTTACTTCCTGTTTTTAAGAGATCTTTGGTAATCCTCTGGTTTTGTACTAGTGATACACACCTTCAAAACTTTGAAACCTGAAATTTCATTGGCTATATGTAATAGTTACCAGAACAGAAAGTAGAACGGACTGTTGTCAGATCCTTATACACGAAGCTTGGACATAGGGTCTGTATATCAATCTGATTGTTTCACTCATAAACTAAACTTGATTTAAAGTTTGATTGATTGATTGGTGTTTAATGCCACTTTCAGCACTATTGTGCTATTTCGTGGCGGTAAGTTTGTATTTGTGGAGGAAACAGGAGTGCCCGGAGAAAACCACCAACCTTCGATAGGAAAACTGACAATCCTTGTCAATTAGGATTGGAGTCGAGTGCAACTGCACGAGCTGGGTTCGAACTCACAACCTCAGTGTTGACTGGCTAGTGATTACAGTAGTTGAACTACTTAGACCATTCGGCCACCGACGTCCCTTTTAAAGTTTGAGCTTTTTAGTTCAATGTTGAAGTCAACACAAGCCTGAGTATTTTGAAGGCTATTATTTTTTGTTTGTTTGATGCCTTTTCAACAGTGAGGAATCTATAAAAAATCAATATCCAAAAATATCTTATTCACACATTTATTAACTACAGGTCTGCAGTGCTGGATCTAGATTACTTGTACAAGAAGGCATCCATGACAAATTGGTGGCCAAACTGAAAGAGAGGTTAACCCACTTTAGAGTAGGTGATAGTTTAGACAAGACAGTGGATATGGGAGCCATTGTTGATGAATCTCAGAGAAAATCAATTGAAGAATATGTGGAATCTGCTAGACAAGAAGGAGCAGAGGTAGGATAGTAGCAAGTACACAGGTGATTTTAGGAAACAGTAAATATGTTAACTTAGACCTGATGCAGATTTAAAATCAGTAGATACAGGTGTCAAATTATATCTACAGAGGATAGTTTACTGTAAAAGCAGAAATTTTCGTTGGGTATTTAATTTCGTTTATTTCGAGGATAAGAATTATCCACGAAATTAAAACCCCAACGAAAATTTAACTGTAGATTTACATTATTTTATGATCAGACAAAATCATATTGACATTATATAAATGATGAACATAAATGCATACAATGAAATTGATAGGTTAATTGATTAGACAACAATATTAAAACGTTTTCTTTCAGTCAGATGATAATCCTAATCTTTTGTTTGTACAGTAATGAAAAATGATCAAGAACTGTCAATCAATGTCATTTAACAGTCTTATGCGTTTGTAATACCCTCAAGCCGTAAAACAACTATTACACAATCAATGTCCTTGGATAAAACATCAAAGGTGTGTAAGCGTCAGTTAGCGTGTGCTGGTCACAACACTTAATTAGTGCTCACTGTTACTATTAAATGTAGTTATTGATTTTTTCCCAACGGCGAAAGTTAAGATTAGTTTTATTGAGTATTGTCAATAATAAAGTGAGATTTACATAATTTTTTCCTCAACTTAAAAACCACAAAAATTAGTCCCCACGAACTGACTTTTGGGTACAAAACAAGAAATTTTTACCCCACGAAAATTAATGTTTATACAGTATTAATTAACTTACTCATTTAACAAAATATATTTGAAAACTATATGTTAAACATTTCATCTGTTTATTGTAATTTCTGAAAATTTTGCAACATTTTTATTGCATTTTAAATTTTGATAGCATTATTTCTATACAGTATTTCCTGAAATCCTTTAATTAAACTTACATATGAGTCAACTGTCCAACAATCAAAATAATAAATTCATGCAATAATTTCTGAATTTCCAGTATTTTTTTTACTCAAATGTGCTTAATACCACTCATATGCTGAAAGTCTTTTCAGGGGTAAAAGGCTAAATATAACTCAGCTTATCCTTAATCATATTCCTTATATTCCAATTTTGTCATTGTTAAGTAATATACTCTTAATTATTGCTGCCTCAGCATAATTAGATAAATGAGTTGAAAATACTGAAAGATGAATACTTTAAAATTTCTCAAAGGATTCTGTAACTATTTGAAATTAAAAAAAAATGTATTTGTAAAAGTCAAGTTAACTGCTTACATTTGACATGACCTACAAAGTGAACCAAAATATCTTTAAGGTTGCATTAACTTCAAATTTAACACACATTATTAAAACTACATGTAATTTTGAAGGATTAAAAGATTATTTTCTCCCAGAACGAACATAAACCAGGGATTTGCTGGTCAAAACTTTAATAACACAATAATTTGAAGGTAACATGTTTTTAATTACAGATATTCAAGTTTGATCATTGATGATTTAACATTTACATAACCTCACTTGTTTGTAATGTGATGGCATTAACACATCACATGTTTTCTTATAAAGACCTTTTCCAGATTCCAAAGTCACATGACCTTTAATATTTGTTATGTGATCTCATTAAAGGGGCATTAGCTACGAGATATAAAAAAAATTAAAATATGTTTTTTTTTTTTGTTCAATCATCATGATCATTGATGAAAGTGAAATAGTGAAATAATAATTCGATTAAAACAGCCAATTTGGTTCAATTTTGCCAAAAATGAGCTAAGAAACGTTGCTGATGAATTATTCACTTGCAAGTGAATAATTCGACCTCATTAAATCCGAATTTATGTGACCTTCAATTTAACCCCTTAGCTTGAGATGGGTTACGGATGTATTCAGCTATTAAAAGGAAAAGAATGTCAACATTGAAAGTGAAACAAGGATGAACCATTTGGTTGATTGATTCGATCCATAGAATATCATTCTTATACAGGTAAAAACAATGATAAACATACTTTTTAACCTACAGTATGAAATCAAACAGGCCTAGAAAAATCCAATTGCACGTGTTTTTTATTTATTTATATTTACATGTATGTTTATATTAGGATATATGACCATCTGCAGTCTTCGGAGGTCATCTCGATGGTTAATTAGATGACGTCTAGACAACAATACACATGAAATGTTGATACATATTATTGAGTCCATGCTTTGTTAATTGTTTATTTTAGACTTTTTGTAATTTGGATATTCGTTATAGTATGTTATAAATCAAATATGAGAATTTGAGTCAAATCGGTGAACACAAATTTCACAGCTCATGCCCCTTAACAAATCACATGATTTCTCTTACAGATATTCCAGATTTCACCTATACCAAAGAAAGGTTGTTTCTATCCTCCAACTATAATCACCAATGTACAGACAGTATCTAGAGTTGTTGTCGAGGAGGTGAGGTTTATCATTAATCATCAGGCAGTATCCTCATTTACTTCCACCTCAAATGCTTCAAATTCTTAGTTTTAATTATATTTCGAATTGGAATATAACAAAGTTGAGGAAAGCTTAAACTGACATTCATTTTGATTATTATATTGAACACTTTTACGACATAAAGATATTGCCCGATATAACACATTGGATAAAATTTGCAATAATTGTCAAATAATTAGGTTTACTTATTTATTTATATGTTAAATTACGGCTATTCCAGAAATAAGTGAATTTAGGAATCATTGGGCATTTTAAATACTAATACAAAAAAAATGTTATTGTTTCTTAGGGTTTTCATACCAGAAAATAAAGTTATCACACACAATATTTTTTGGAAATACCCACTTACAACTCTGTTTGTTCATTTATGGAATACTTCAAGTTCATAGAGTGATGAAAACAATATTTTTTGTGTAGTTGTCTCATTGATATATTCCTCTCATCTCCTTTTATTTATATTACTAGTAGCATGAACCTTTTTCTACTTTGCAGATATTTGGTCCAGTATTAGTTGTATTACCCTTTAGGACAGCTAAGGAAGCTATTGCCCTGTCTAATAACACTATCTATGGACTAGGAGGGAGTGTTTGGACAGAGAATATTCCATTAGCTCTGGAAGCTGCACTCAGTATCAAGGCTGGGACGGTATGGATCAACTGCCACAATTTGTTTGATTCAGCAGCTGGCTTTGGTGGCTACAAGCAGAGTGGCTATGGTAGAGATGGTGGCAAAGAGGTATGGTTAAATGTAGCTGGTGGCACAGTTTATGTTGTTTGTAAAGGCTTTGGTGTGACTAAATATTTTCCAATACTTCCTTTTTGGTATTATGACATTAGAAGGATATTTATAAGAGGATGGACACGATAACTTTACAAATGAAATGCCAAATGTTCCAGTAAATTTTCAGATTCACATGATTTGCATTTGTCTCTTGAATTCAATAGGGGTTAGACTGTCCATTACGATGGCTTCTAATGATTGTTGGACTAGTATTTTGAATATAGTTTAAACATGCAATATTTAATGACAACTTTCCTATATATATAATGAAATTTATGACTATGTGTATTCATTGATTTTTACAAACCTTTTTGTCTCACAGTGAGACTGTGTTGTATTTCATCAGTCAACAGATATTCACTCACAATTGATAAATGATATAAATTCACTACTCTTCAACAGGGAGTTATGAAACAGTTACACTCTGATTTGAAGATCTCTATTCTTTATTTGTTAATTTTGCTTTCCTCGTATTAATTTAGCAAAATGCTTCATATTTAATTAATTTCGAAATCACTTTTCATAGATGACGTGTTACCTTTATGATAGGCCAATGCAAAACTATAGCCAATTTTTTGAGTTTGCAAGTATTGTTTTTTAGTTGGTTTAGTACCGTTAAATTTGTTAAATAAGCCACGGTTGTTAATATTTTTAGTGGTAAATGTTTTTCAGCTTAACTTTGACTTTTCATAACCTAAGAGATGTCTATTTTGGTAGATTTGTGATCCTGGGTTGCTGTCTTTTTTATGAATTTACGATGTTAGGTTGCTGGCTTATTGACATATTCCCATCATTTCAATAAATTCATATTCATTGATATGATAAGATAAGTAAAAAAATTATTACTGGGGTTATATCTTTATTTAGAGATATGTCAGTATTATAATTCTTTTGCAGGGACTATTTGAGTATGTCAGACCATCCTGGGAAAAGAGGCCCAGACCAGAACCTGTGCAGTTGGACCTAAAAGCTTTTGGACAGATGGTTCAGGCCAGACCAACTATAGGGAACAACCAAAAAAATGAGATTTCAGCAGATGGTAACGTGCCAGGGTAAGTTTACTGTAGGATATTAGTCTGTCATGAAAAGGTTATGTTCAATATAATGGTAAATGTTTTTTTTATATATATCAGACCACCCTTAAAAAATTCTTTGTTTGATGATGCCTATCCATGCCTTGTAGGGTTGGGTAGGTAGGTAAGGATATAATTTTTTGTGCCAATATCATGTTAACTGTTTTAGACAAGAAGGCAACAGAAGGGCATGAACAAATCTTTAAACACAAATTTGAAATGATTTGTGTTATAAAATTTTTTGGGTAGGTAGGCAACATCAAACAATTTGAATTATATTTTTGGCCTCATTTTAAACAGACATGCATTTAATTCTACATGTATGTTCTATCATTCATTATGTATTTTCTTGAAATACTTTACATTTTTGTCGAGCCTGTGAAATTTATTTCGGGAAAGTGAGACAGCGATCCTAGATTCCATTTAGGTTCAGTCTGTGGTTAAAGTTTTTTTAGACTACAATAACTTTGTCAAACCTACATGGAATTTCATGAAATTTGGACAGAAGCTCGTTTATGACCAAAATACAGTATCCATAGCAAAATTTTGAAAATATTTATTTTCATTTTTCCATATTTTACTCATAAATGGACCAGGGCTTCCAAAATAATTTTTAGCCAGCCGGACATTTTATATATTATCCTGATTTTAATCCCTTAAGACAAAATAAACAAAAGGCAATTATGGAAATCAGGTGCCGTTTTGGCCATCCCAATGATTGACATTAAAAAAAAAACGATATTAAACTTTCTTTGATTCAAATTCGAAGTTCTGACGTAAACTGTTAAATTGGCAGTGCATCATTTGAAGTGTGCAACATCAGCGTACTTATATCTGCCTTAGACTCTTTATTTGTGCAAAATAACGATGTCAAAAACTTTACTTTCGTTTTTAAATCTGAAACCGGATGTTATCTTGACAATGGTAAAACATGGACCAGAGACGGATACATTAATTCCGTGTACGTTTGCAAAGCATGAATGAGTGTAAGTAGCTCTTTCTTCGTTATTTCTTCAAGAAAATATTCGAAATAAACAAGAAATAAAGGTATCAATGACAATTTAAGCATTTTTTGAAGAAAATAGGATGCATAATCAAATTTCACACCTGGGCACATGCGCACACGTGTACTAGTTCAAACAGAGACATGTCTCTGGTTCAAACAACGTGGTTATGACGATTTTTCATTTTCACCTTTTTAATTTTTTCATCAAATCATATTTGCAAACGTACTGTATTTCTGATAATTTAAATCTTTTTGAATAATAAATTAGATGCAAACCGCTGAAATGTAAGAAAATAACTTTGAATAGACCGATCAATGTCCGGTTCAAAATAGTTTACCTGTCACTTGAACAGGTAATTTTCAGCTGTTCGACAACTAATTAGCCTTGATTAAAATGAGAAGGTATTAAAGTAGGGGTTGTTTTGATAGTACTTAATGATCATGTCACTTTTATGACCGGAAATGTGTGGCTGTTAAAGGCAAAAGGTTGGGTTAAAAAGATCGCGAATTATGTTAAAATGACCGTCTCTTAAGAAAGCCTTGAAAACTAAAAAGTACATGACCGTTTCATGCTTTGCCCAGCTGGACTTTTACCGGACATTATACAAATGTCCGGAATATATGACCGTTTTGGAAGCCTTGAAATGGACTTAGTTTTTTTTAACAGTTAACATTCAGATTTAGTTTGAGGTTAAAAGTTTTTCAGTCATCAATAACTTTGTCAAACCTTCATGGAAATTTATGAAATTTGGACATAAGCTTTTTTATGACCAAAATACAGTATCCAGAGCAAAATTTTAAAAATATTTATTTTCATTTTTCTGTATTTTTCTGATAAATGGACTTAGTTTGTTTTTACAGTTAACAAGTAGATACAGTCTGGGGTTAAATTTTGTTACACATCATATATTTTGTCAAACCTTCCTAGAGTTTTATGAAACTTTGGCAGAAGCTTTTTAGTGATTAAAAGATATGTCTGAAGCAAACCTTTGAAAATATATTTTTTTCATTTTTATATGCCCGTCAAATTTTTGACGAGCGTATTATGATATACAAATGTCTGGCGTCCGTCCGTCTGTCTGTCCGTCTGTCTGTCTGTCTGTCTGTCTGTCTGTCCGTCTGTCTGTCCGGCGTAAACATGTTGCACCGTATCTTGAGAATGACTTATCCAAATTTCATGAAACTTAACATAGTTGTTTCTTATGATGGTCAAACGATCTGTATACTTTTTGGTGAAAATAAGATTAAAACTTTTTGAGTTACGGGACTTAGTAACTAAAACAGGTGCTTGTTTTTTTTAGCTCACCTGGCCCAAAGGGCCAAGTGAGCTTTTCTCATCACTTGGCGTCCGTCGTCCATCGTCCGCCGTCGTCGTCGTCGTTAGCTTTTTACAAAAATCTTCTCCTCTGAAACCACTGGGCCAAATTTAACCAAACTTGGCCACAATCATCATTAGGGTATCTAGTTTAAAAAATGTGTCCGATGATCCCGCCAACCAACCAAGATGGCCGCCATGGCTAAAAATAGAACATAGGGTTATAATGTAGATTTTGGCTTATATCTCTGAAACCAAAGCATTTAGAGTAAATCTGACATAGGGTAAAACTGATTATCAGGTCAAGATCTATCTGCCCTGAAATTTTCAGACAAATCTGACAACCTGTTGTTGGATTGCTGCCCCTGAATTGGTAATTTTTAGGAAATTTTGCAGTTTTTGGTTATTATCTTGAATATTATTATAGATAGAGATAAACTGTAAACAGCAATAATGTTCAGCAAAGTAAGATCTACAAATATGTTGTCACGACCAAAATTGTCAGTCGACTCCTTTAGGAGTTATTGCCCTTAATAGTCAATTTTTAACAATTTTTCGTAAATTTTTGTAATCTTTTACAAAAATCTTCTTCTCTGAAACTACTGAGACAAATTTAACCATACTTGGCCATAATCATTATTAGGGTATCTAGTTTTAAAAAATTTGTCCGATGACCCTGCCTTCCAACCATCATGGCCAACTTGGTTAAAAATAGAACATAGGGTTAAAATTCAGTTTTTGGTTTATATCTCTGAAACTAAAGCATTTAGAGCAAATCTGACAGGTGGCAAAAATGTTCATCAGATTTAGATTTATCTGCCCTGAAATTTTCAGAAGAATCCAACAAACCCGTTGTTGGGTTGCTGCCCCTGAGTTAGTAATTTTACAAAAATTTTGCAGTTTTTTGTAATTATCTTAGATATCATTATAATATCTAATATCTAATACTATTAATTATTAATTTTAACCTTATTTTACATGATTTCCAAAGCATCAGTAAATACAGGTGAGCGACACAGGCTTGAGAGCCTCTAGTTTCACATGTCGCGCCGTATCTCAAAAACAGTCTATGATTATTGCTTAAAACTTTACACACTTCTTAGTTATATTAACCTTAAGATCTGTATACTTTTTGGTGATGATTCAAAATTTTATTTTTGAGTTATTGAGTATTTTGTAAAAAAAGGGGGAGTGGTTTTTCACATATCACGCCGTATCTCAAAAACGATTTATGATTTTTGCTTAAAATTTTACACACTTCTTAGTTATATTAATCTAAAGATCTGTATACTTTTTGGTTTTGATTCAAAATTTTATTTTTGAGATATTGATTTTTTTTTTTTTTTAAAGGGGGGGTTTTCACATGTCGCGCCGTATCTCAAAAACGATTTATGATTATTGCTTAAAATTTTACACACTTCTTAGTTATATTAATCTAAAGATCTGTATACTTTTTGGTTTTGATTCAAAATTTTATTTCAGAGATATTGAGTTTTTTGTAAAAAAAAAAAGGGGGGTTTCGCATGTCACGCCGTATGTCAGAAACTATTTATGCTTATTGCATAAAAATTCACACACAAGAGGACAGGCGTATCATGCGCTCATGGCGCAGCTGTTTATTAGTATATTTTTCTGATAGATGGACTTAGTTTTTTACAGTTAACATTTACAGACAGTCTGGGATTAAAATTTTTTGACATGATTAATTTGTAAACCATTATGGATTGTTATGAAACTTGGACAGAAGCTAATCTTCAAGACCATGAAATAGCATCTAATGAAAAAGTTTTATTTTTTTTTTAATTCTGTATTTTACTGATAAATGGCCATACTTTTTAAGTCAACATAACACTTTTACACTGACAGCAGCAATTGCAGGCAAGACACAGGGTTCCGCGGAACCCCTTACAAATTTTTACATACAATAAAACTCAAAAATGACATGATTTTAAAAATGTATAATTCCAAACATATTTTACAGGTTTTTGTTCCGTTTTTGCACTTATATTGATATAGCTGCCTGCAGCAATCATTGCACATTATAGAGAGCAATTTTATGTAGTAATATATCCATGATCTATTACTACCTGTTGGCTTAGTGCTGTACATGTCAGATCTCCTTTCAATGTAAATTTAAAAAGCAAATATGAGAAAATTAATGCATGCATTTATTAAAGCAAAACTCAACTAATTTATAGAATGAATAAATAAATAACACACAACCTCTTTCATGTTGCTGTAGAATTTAGTCAATATTGAAAAGGGAGTTTTTTATTTGGTCGTATATTGGTGTCACATCGTCGTCGTCGTCCGTAGACATTTGGTTTCCGGACAATAACTTTAGTAAATGTAAATAGAAATCTATGAAATTCAAACACAAGGTTTATAACCACGAAAGGAAGGTTGGGATTAATTTTGGGGGTTATAGTTCTTACAGTTTCGGAATAAGGGGCCAAAAAGGTGTCCAAATAAGCATTTTTCTAGTTTCCAGACAATAACTTGTGGAACGGTGTATAGATCTCTCTGAAATTATACCACAAGTTTCTATACCACAAAGGGATGGTTAGGATTGGCTTTGGGGGGTTTTGGCTCAAACCGTTTAGGAATTAGGGGCAAAAAAGTGAGAAAAAACAAGGGTGTCCTGGTTAATGGACAATTACTTAGGGCTTTTCCATTAAAATGTATGTGGGAGGGTACGTAGGAAAGGAAGTTTAATTATTGAATGTGGGTCATGGATCTTTTTTCAGTATGCGTCTATTACCAAATATGCAAAATTATCTAAAAAATGGTTCTTGGTTGTAGGGATATTTTGAAATTCCCTTCCTACTCTCCCGCATACATTTTAATGGAATTGCCCTTAAGTACAAATTACAGTGTAAGGGAGGTAATTCAATGTTGTGTTTGAATTACCTCCCTTACACTGCTTTTAAATTATGTGTATTGTCTTGAGGTGATTAGCTGTCAATTTATTTTTAGAAGTTACTATTTTAATAATTTTAAAAATGCTGATTAAGGTAAATTAATTTTAGCCATGATTATGTATGTCATTTTCTATTTTAAGACTTTTATGATGTATTTAAATGGGTAATTATGGTTGCAAACTCCATTGGAAATTTGAATTGAGATTATGACCATATCTTGATGGAAAGAATTTTTTTTTGGAAAAAGGGGGGTGGGGGAGAGGTTCAAAAATTGGTGGTGGGGGGTGGGGGGATGGGGACAATTTTTTACTCCACAAGATTTTTTTTTTTGAAAAAAAAGGGTGGGTGGGTGGGGAGGACAATTCGCAACAGCATAGTGTAATGCACAAAAGCAAAAAATTGAATATAAATTCAAATCATATAAACAATTCTAAGTTCTTTGACTACAGTTATTCTGTGTCAGAAACCTATTATGTGTCAAATATTTAATTACAATCCAAATTCAGACCTGTATCAAGCGCGAATAGTGTGTCCATTTTTGCCCCATCTGTTCAGGGTTGGACCTCTGGGGTCATATCCAGCTGCAGGCGAAGCAATTTATTAATTATTGTAATGTTTGTCAAATAACATTTTTCACAATAATGTTAAAAAGTCTCTGAATTTTAATTTTTTAAACAACAGGTTATAATTATTTTGATTTAAGACTTTAAGCACTCTGTATTTTTGACAGAATTGACAGAACATTTAAGATGTATTATGGTGGTAAACAAGCCAGACCAGATGCACCCTACTCCAGACCTGTGGTGAGCCCAAATGGTACTGTTATAGCCCATGTTGGTGAGGGTAACAGAAAGGATGTCAGGAATGCAGTAGAGGCTGCACATGCTGCTGCTGCAGGGTAGGTAGCCCCTTAGTGAGCCCAATGGTTCTGTATAGCCCTGATTGCTGAGTGTGTATCAGTCCATGTGATTAGGTCCAATGGTATTGTAAAAGCCAAATTGTTAGCCCCCACCACTTGTTTAAGGAGGCATTAAGGTTTACCCTTGTCTGTGTGTACTTACAGGGCTCACACTAGCAGGCGACAAAGTCGCTTTCCCGTCAGTCACTTCGCTTTGCCTGCCCGTCAAAAGCGATATCTAGTCGCCTTGGTGTTCACAATAGTTGCTTGCAGTTGCTTTCGTCATTGATGATTTCCCATATTTACCAAGTCAATGAAACAGCATACTTTTCATTTAAAAGTGAAGAAATTCAAAGACATAAACGATTTATATCTTTAGAAAAGATGTGAAAGTATTGACTTTACAGATTGGTCGTATGTTATTTCAAAGAAACAACTTCTATGAAGTATACTATCTTTCACTTCTGGTACTTGTTACTTGAGATCGTATATCAAAACATTCTGATTTTCGGCAAAATAAGATTGTTACTTCTTTAGAAAGTGATCAAAATTGCTTTTAGTTAATGTATGGTCCATTAATTGCATTAAAAGCGTCATATTCCTTTCCGTATCGCTTGTCAAACATTGTTTATTTTAGTAAATTTTCTTCGCCATTGAAATATTTGTACGAACCACAGATCAGAGGCGGGATTCATCGGAAGCGGACCAGCTATAACCGAAATCCGTATTCTTACGATAATAACTATTGACACTTGAATTGAACAGCTGACAAAAGAATAATGATCCCAAAAGTGAAAATTACGAATTCCACACTCATTAACAAACTTTTGGTTAGATCTCCTTGCTAAATGTATACATTTTCATGTAAATACATTGTTTCAATTTATTGATTAAAGATGCTTAACTTTGTTTAATTTTATATCTTTTTAATGAGAAACAATGAATTTTATTATTATGATAAACAGAATAGTTTTTTAATTGCATTTCAATTGATTTATGATACTTTTTTTTTCCTTTTTGATATAAAAAAGTTCTTTTTTATAAATGACTATTTAAGACATAAACTGAAACAACTGTTACTTTAATTGATTCAGGTATGAATTGAGCACCTATTTAAAAAAAAAAAAAAAGGTAACATAGGACCCTTTATATTATAGTAAAAACCAAACATTGAAGCGCCACGAGCGAACGAGCACTTCTCTTTCAAATCTCACCACTTCTCCCTATCAGTTTCAAAATGAGAAGTCACTTCTCCCTATAATTCTGAAGTAGTGTGAGCCCTGACTTATGTGCGTCAATACGTACATACGTCCCAAAATTAGTTTTCCTTCCCTAACTTTAGTTTGCCTCAACTAAATATTATGAAACTTATACTCAATGCTTATTACCACCTAACACAGACTTAAGTTCGAAAATTTGGATTATGCCATTTTCATCATTCTCGAGTTATGTCCCTTTATAAATGGAAAAATTGTTGAATTTGCAGTTTCTGCACTCTAACTTTTACTTTTGCTGCAACCTAATCTTATAAAACATATACACTATGCTTATTTCCACCAAACACAGATTTAGTTTGAATTTGAGTCGGGTCACTTTCAATTTCCTCTAGTTATGTCCCTTTATAAATAGAAAAATTGCTGAATTTGCTGCCTAAGGTGGCATCTGTGTCCTATGGATACTTTCTTCTAATATAGTTTCTAGAGTCTGCATTGGTGGTGTCAACAGTTGTTGAAGTTTGTGAATACTAATCATTTATAGGTTGCACAGGTTAGACATATGTGTATGTAGAAAGTTAATTGTTAATTTAATCAATTCCTATGGATAGACCTAGTGGTACATATATCCTATGTCAATGAGTGTATTTGTCCCTGATTATAACCCCAGTAATCTTACAGGCCATTATGATGATGTGAAGTACTAGTTGTAATGTTTCAGCCCATGTTGATTATGGAAAATGTTGTCCCTTTAGTGTGCTCTAATGGGACTTACATATATGTGTAGACTGTAGAATCACTATTGTGAGCATAAGTGGTACTGGATTTCCCCGATGTTGCCGATTGTCTAAAGTCCTTGACTTTTGATGGCCAATATTGCTAGGAAAAGAAATCCTGTGGCGAGCCCTATTTGTATTATTCCAGCCATGTTAAAGAGTCTAAATGAAATACATTATTTCTGTAACATAGTGTACCAAGACTCATGGATCCCTCATTTAGGAGGATTGGTTAAGAAATTGTAAGTTTTTATTAATTTTTTTTTTAAATCATATAATAGCTTATTCATTGCTTGTTGATTAGATGTCTCTGATTTTAATTTATATGTTTGAATAGTTGGGGTAAGAGAGCAGCACATAACAGAGCACAGATAGTATACTACATGGCTGAGAACCTTGAGTTACGACGAGATGAAGTGGCTAACAGGATACATCAGATGACGGGACGATCCATGGACGACTGTAGGACTGAAGTGGACCTGTCAGTACAGAGACTGTTCCACTGGGGTGCATACTGTGATAAATATGGAGGCTCTGTACAGGTTGGTATCTCTAAGATTTTCTTTAATCGCCATAATAAATAATTAGTAATGGATTTTTATAGATTTACAGAAATATTACTTAAAATGTTTTATCATCAATTAACTGTAATCATACATTAATGAGCTTAGTTGTGCATAAAGTGAGGATTAAGACTTAAGTGAGCAACTCAAAACTACTCATTTGAAGTCTTGTCTTGTAGATAAAGATCGAAATAAAAAAATAAAAAATCTAAATTTTCTAAAAACTGAGAAATTATTTACTTATGTTATATAAAGGTTGTGTTATTTTCTTTCAACATGCATTTGAAACAGTGTCAATTATTTTTTGCTGCTGAAAACCACAGGAAAATTGTTACTGTGCAAAGAAATAACAAAGAGACAAAAAAGAAATTTTATAAAATAATAGAGGATTACATACAAATACATCAATGTAAGACCAGAATATCAACCACGACCCATATATATACATATGAGGATTGACTTTAGCCTTACCAAGCTAAGCAAGAGTTGTGTCCCTTGGTCTGTCAAACTTCCGGTATTCGTTTGAGTCGAACTACAGGTATCTCAAAATATTTCTCTGGTTCAGCAGACTTCGAGATAACTTCAGTCGACTGTATATAAATTTTTCAGAATATGTAAAAACTTTGATTTTCTTTTTATATGAATACACCAACAACAAGTGAACTTGAAAATAGTTTACAATCCATTGGGTGTTTTGAAAAAATTTCTGAGCTGTATACTGTTAATTTAGAAATTTTATTTGGGAATTTTGAAGAATTAACTAATTTGTAAGATTGATTGTTGGGATTTAAGGAAAATCTGCATATAGTTATGCAGATTTTAGGAAAAGCCACATACATGTATATGTATCAGAGATCAGAATGAGAGTTTTTTTATTATTATGATACTCATTCAGTCGCATTATTCGCATTAATAAACACCTCTCAATAATTTCTGAATTTACTGTATTATCTATTTTCTATTTTGACAGGAGACAACATTGTATGGTTGTACAGTTAAAGTCCATGAGCCTATGGGTGTGATTGGTATTGCATGTCCAGATGATTATCCCTTGTTAGGCTTTGTGTCACTGTTTGCTCCAGCTGTAATTAGAGGGAATGTCATAGTTATTGTACCAAGTGAGAAATACCCACTGTCAGCTTTAGATTTGTACCAGGTAAGAGGTCTTGTTTGGTTTTTCTGATGAAATGTACGTCTGATTTCATGACGGAAAGTGTCAAATATGAAGTGATAATTCAATAATTGTATTACAAAGAATTCCTTTTCAAAACCTGTTTACAGATGAAAAATGTATATACATAAATGAGGGTTGAATATGAAATATATATATGAAAACAACATGGGATGCATGTACATGAAATGAAAATCTCTGAAAATATGATATAACCCATAAAGGGACTGCATGTTAAACTTATAGCCATCTTTATAACTGCTTCACTAAAAAATATTGGATATAAAACTGATAAAGGGGGCAACGATTTTGGTCTTCAGGTTCAGCACCTTTTCTTTTTTTATTACATAATTTACAACAAATCTCCCAAGTGAAACCACCATAACACTCCTTTTAAAAGTTTCTTGTTCCCTGTCTCTATTATACTTGTAATATTGGAAAATATTATTGTATTACAGGTATTTGACACATCTGACCTTCCAGGAGGTGTTGTCAACATTTTGACTGGAGATCGTAACCACTTGGCCAAATATCTTACTGAGCATCAGGATATCCAGTCCATGTGGTACTTCGGAACTGCAGAGGGGTCCAAATTTGTGGAATATATGTCTGCCGAGAATGTGAAGAGGACCTGGGTGAACTATGGACTGGCCAGAGATTGGACTGACCCAGAACAAGGACAAGGAGAAGAGTTCCTGTATCAATCAATACAGTGTAAAAATATCTGGATTCCAATGGGGGACATCTTTGCAAATTAAAGAAAAATATGACAGAGACGTCTTGAGTGAATTAATATATGACAGTCATGTCCTGTAATTTTTTTCTTTGGATTTTGGATAGATCTGTTCATTTTATTGAATTAACAATTAATATCTGGAATTATGTACATAAGGACAAACAAATTACTGGTCAGCATAGATACATTCTCAAATAGTTTCAGTATTGTTTAGATATTTAATTTTAAGTCATGTTTTAAGAATGTTAATATTTAATCATGTAAACCGTCCAAACTTACATTCTAGCTGGAGTTGTTAGATAGATAACCCCATTTTCTTGTCTGAAAAGATAGCTTAAGTCATGAATAGAAAGGGTTGTGATTAGTATTACAAAGGTTCAATGTATAATAAAAGGAGAAAATATGATTAGGCTACATCTGGTTTCCAGAATATTTGAAAATCATTAATTATTTAAAGTTTATCAAATAACATAATGTAAACCAACTTATTTTCGCACATACTTCATTTTATGTTAAGTACTTTCGAGCCAACATTGCAGCAATTTATTTTCAAGATTTTTTCACTTTCTTGATATTAAAGCGAAGTTTATTTTTCACATATTGATATTCATGTTATTTTTCTACTCGTGAAAGTCACAAAAATAAGTCGCTTGTGAAAATTAATATTTCCGTCAGATTTTGGTCATGATACATTTAGATTTTATTATGGTACCTTTCATATCTCTTCCTTTAAAAATTGCATCTTAATGAAACTATTTAAAAAAGAATTATATATTCACTAAAATATCTTCTGATTTAAGTAATGAAAATGTTTGGTTTTTAGGTAATATCTATATTTTTGAAGTTTAACAGATGCTAAACATTTATGACTTTTATATATTATTTGGTATGATTTATCATGTTTACCTGAAAATCTAGTCTTCCATTCATTTATATTATTAATGTATATAGTTCAAAGGAGGGGTGATCCATGCAGTGTATATATGCATATTATATATTAAATTAACTGCCAGCATTTAATTATGTTTTAGTGGTGCTTGTTGTATTATGAAATATACCATTTGAGAGCAAGTATAAGATATGCCTAAATCTTCATGATTACATTACATTTAGATAGGCTGAGCTTGAACTATAGTAATATTTTTATTTTGTTTTGAGATTTGATATTTCACTGTAATTAGCATTCAATATTTCGCTTCTACTTCTACCACTAAGTGACCACCGTTGACTAAGGTTGACTATCCTGTCACTGTTTGGAGTGTGCTTTGTATAAGTTTGTCACCAGCAAAAATCTTTACTTCCTGGTTTGAAATTTTTTTATAGGAGGGTAAGCCTAGCGTTTTTTCTTCTCTCCTCTAGTGTTGGCCATATATTCCTTTTATGATATGCATGACAATCATATATCAAATGGTTTTGGTGTATGTAAAGGATATTCATCTATAGGACATATCTTATGGGAATGGTTATTTTGATAAAATGCTATAGATGTACATATACATGTCTAAGAATTTGATTTAGGTAAGCAGTGCTTGTTTATACATGTATCAATATTTTAAGGAGACAATTCTTTTAGTTTCACTTTAATTGATTTTTTAAGGCAGCTCTTTGAATTTAATATACAATCAGGTAAATCATGCTTTAAATATATGTATTTTATTCAGTTTTCCTATATTATTTTTTTCAGTAGGAATGTCTGGAAAAGTGGCATAAGTTTTGGACCTAACATCCCTACTTGAAATGTATTCAAAACGATCCAATAATTATGTTTCAATTTTGAACTATCTCCATTTTTCCAGTTAAAGAATAGTAACAAAAAATACCTCAAATGTAAAATATGTTCTGTTACCTATTGTAAATAGAGAATATCAAATGGGTTTTTCAATATTAAGGTGTGTGATATTAAAAAAGCCATATCATATACTTTATTATATTCTTTAGGTAGAAGTTTTTCATGCTACGTGATGTTATACAGATTAGGAGTTTGATAAAGCCATGATTGATATCAATGACATGAAGTCATACAGAATAGGGGTTTGATAAAGCATTTAAAACCATGACTGATTTAGACATTATCACTGATGGCTGATACAGCACAATTGTCATTGATTGTATAACACATACAGTTCAACTGTATTTACTACTAATAATAACAAATGCATTATACATATGTCTAATAAGTCCAATACTGATTAATAAGTGATGCCATTAGTTGTTTCGCTTCTCCTTTTTAAAATGTTGTATTACAGTGTTTGTACTTATTTTTGCAGTGTAAATTACTCTGTCACATATTTCACACAGGATGTTGTGAAAAATGAAAGAAGATAGAGATTCCACCACTGCATCAAGTGTGTTACGATATTTCTCCACTCGAGACAGTTAAATTTTAATATTTACAGGGTGAAGCTTGCTGATCTTTTTAAATAATTAAAATTTAACTGTTGAGAGTGGAGAAATATCGTAATACATGAGTTATATATGGTGGTGGAATCTGTTTCTCTAATGATTTTTAAACGATATCCAAACAAAGTTTATCCTTCTTTTTCAAAGATTTGCAGAAAGTCGTGTTCTTTATATGTGATGTCATCAGGCATGGTCGCCTTTTTTCATGACGTCACAATAGGAAATTCAGAAGAAACCAAGAAAATTTGACGTCATAAATAAATTTCTACCAATCATTTGACGAGAACAAAGTTTTCTCAAGAGATGAAAAGTATTTTTCTTACTCTGAACGAGAAATGTGAAAAAAACATTCAAATTAGAGAAAGTATATATTGTTGTTGTTGCATAATAGCTGTGGACACATTTTTGTAGTTCATAAACTGTTTTTTTAATGTACAAATTCAGGAAAAAAAGTTCACATTTTAAAAAAGACAAATATGTTTGTTTTGTAGTTGAAATTATATTATTTTGAATCTCAGTTTATAGTTTTGTATAATATGAATTCATTTTAAGGTACACTTTTTGTTTATAGTGCTAAACTGTTTGTTTTATATAATATTCAGGAACTATAATAAAATTGTTGATTGTTGATATTGTATTCTTTGTTGATTCTAGTGTAATTTCTGATAAGGCCACTGTACAAGATTTTCAATTTATGGCATTCAATATTTTTAATCCCATTTTCTTCCCTTTTTAAATGCCCCAGAGATATTGAGCTGTTCAAGGAAACTGGAAACTAAGGACAAGGTAGTTTCTCACAAAATGATGAAGGCAGAAGCAGGTCCAGTAACCCCTTGACCCCGCTTGACTGGTATGTCAGTCTGTCTGTCTGTTTGTCTGTCTTTCTGTCAAATATTTCTTGGCTTCTATGAAAGGGAATGATTTAATATTTAGTCTGCAGCTTGATAATGTTGAGTTGTAGTGAGTAAGCAATTTTTACATCTGCAGTGTAGCCACTTCCTGTTTGCTAATATTTTGAAATTTTACAACACTCATTGTACAAGAAAATTTCCTTCAAACTTTTCTTGGCTCCTTTTGAAGTGAATGGTTTCAATATTTGGTCTGGGAAGGATCAGTTATGCTCCGGTATACATGTTACATCAATCAATTATATGCAGTGAAGCAGGTCCAGACCAGATATTGATCTTGCTGAAAACTAACAAAGAAGTTGGGAATTTCACAACTCACATTTGTGACATTTCTGTCATTTTGCCATAGAACATGGATTTGTATTCATTTTAAGCACATGTTCCATTTGTCCTATACAACAACACTTTAGATGGGGTTTGTAGTTGGCCTGTTGCCAATCAAAATCTGACCCTATCCAACATGCCTTTATTCCAAGTGGCAGACCAAATTTCTCCCCCTTCATTCCTGTCAAATTGTGTTGCCGAACCTACCTATTTATTAATTGTTAACTGGCTCATCCTGAATATGCATGAAATATTTGCCACTGGACATTTGTTAATCTTTTGCCCTATATGTTAAACTTTTACCTATTATGATTGGAACAAAAACAAGATGGGGAGATCCATTTCCATTCTACAAACATACTCCAGTTATCATTTCATAAGTTCTATGGGCACCATCCCAATGTAATTAATTATAATAGGATCCCTGGGTCAATTAAATCCACTTCATTTGGACCCTGGTGGATAGTTGTCTCATTGGCAATCATACCATATCTCCTTATTTTTTTTACAAGACATTTTAACTCGAGTCATTTATACCTTGTGTTACTATTTTCTATATGACATTTTAACTGGTTTTGTCACATTTCTGGATATGACAAGTTATAGTGTTTGATGCATTTTACTGGATTTGATACACATTCCTGGATGTTACTCAAAAATGGATTTGACACATGTTCCCCAGATGTGATACATTTACATGTAACTTGTTGTCACACCCGTCCCTAGAGTTGACACATATTCCTGTTTGTTACACATGGAACTGGAGCAGAGAAATATTACTGGATGTGACACATGCTACTGTATGTTACATGTTACTTGTTGTCACACCTGTCCCTAGAGGTGACACATGCTCCTGTGTGTTACAATTGTAACTGGAGCAGGGAAATATTACTGGATGTGACACATGCTACTGCATGTAACATGTCACTGGTTGTCAATAGATACAAGAAGATTTGGTATGAGTGCCAATGAGAAAACTCTCCATCCAAGTCAAAATTTATAAAAGTAAACCATTATAGGTCAAAGTACGGTCTTCAACACGGAGCCTTGGCTCGCACCGAACAGCAAGCTATAAAGGGCCCCAAAAATTACTAGTGTAAAACCATTCAAACGGGAAAACCAACGGTCTAATCTATATAAAAAAACGAGAAACGAGAAACACTTATGAACCATGTTACTCAAAAATGGATTTGACACATGTTCCCCAGATGTGACACATTTACATGTATCTGGTTGTCACAACCGTCCCTAGAGGTGACACATGCTCCTGTGTGTTACAATTGTAACTGGAGCAGGGAAATATTACTGGATGTGACCCATGCTACTGTATGTTACATGTTACTTGTTGTCACACCTGTTCCTGGAGGTGACACATGTTCTTGTGTGTTACACTTGTAACTGGAGCAGAGAAATATTACTGGATGTGGCATATGCTACTGTATGTTACATGTTACTGGTTGTCACTCCTGTCCCTAGAGTTGACACATGTTCCTGTGTGTTACACCTGTAATTGGAGCAGAGAAATATAATGTTCCGGATGTGGCACATGCTACTGTATGTAACATCTTACTGGTTGTCACTCCTGTCCCTAGAGGTGACACATGTTCCTGTGTGTTACACTTGTAACTGGAGCAGATAAATATTACTGGAAGTGACACATGCTACTTACTATATGCAACAAATTACTGGTTGTCAAACATGTCCCTGGAGGTGACACATGTATGTTCCTGTGTGTTATATGCTACTGGTTGTCACGCATGATCCATGATGCACACATGTACACATGTTAATTGATGTAAATTTTAAATTGAATGATAAGTGATACATGCAAAGTAAGATGATAATGTTTGTTGAATAGTGTCCATTGTCAAGTGGTAAATATCACATGCATATCAGGATGAGAAAAAGCTAATGATATATGAAAAAGAACCCTTGTTTGTACGAAACTGACACTTGTTGAGCTTTATTTTTTTACATGCAAGTACACTAGGTAACAGTCCGCAGGAAAACATGTTATCCTACCTGGATACATTATTATGACTGAACTAAACAGTCTTCTCTTCTTCCTAGATACCACATGCTTAGCTGAGAAGCAGCAAATGCCAATTTTGAGCAGGCTACCACGAGACTACCGAAACACAGCAAAGTAGGAGATGATGGTCTCATTCACATAAAACAATTATTAGTTTTATTGTACATGATGCGTTACTGTTTGTAGGAGCTAGACCTCTTTTCCAAACAACTGTGATACAAGTGGGAGGTTTAACTAGCTATAAAACCAGGTATAAATGGGTACAAATAATTGCAGAACCGGGGATGCCCAAAAAGACATATATTGGACTAATCGGGCATGCATAATTCTGCAAGTTTTATTCGTACTGAATACAATTAGCAAAATGCTGCATAATTCCTATTTCATGATTAGTAAAAGTTGAATAATTCAAATTCAAATGCACAGTTATGCAATTTTTTGCATGATTATGCAATGATTTCATTAAAGTGCACAGTTTTACAATCATTTTCACAATTCTGCAAAGATTAAATTCAAGTGCACAATTCTGCAATGATTTATTTTTACAATGTGTTGTTTTTGTTGTTTTTCTACACCTCCGTCCCACTAGGAGGAGGGTTGTGTGCCAACAAATATATCAACCCCGCCTGCTTCTTATAATAGAAAAAACAAAGGATAGGGGTATCCATCTACACAAAATTAGTACATGCACAACAAAAAACCCACAAAAAGCAAAGGAACAGCGGGGGGCTTCCGGGGGGCAAGAACCCCCTTTTTCCTCGATTTAAAAAAAAATTAATATATGACAATTTCATGGTGTTACGGCGGTTGCAACACCCTCCACCCCACCCTTCCTTTCCAAATGGCTGGATCCGCGCCTGGTTAAACACGTTGTCTTACCGGGCCTTTTATAGAAAAATGAAAATAACACTTTATAAATGTGTTGCTTCCGAATCGCTTTACTGGATTTACATTCATCAGGATCGCTAATACCAAAAATTGTGTTAGCCAAGGATTTTTTTTAAATGAACTTTCGCATAGCTTACTTTACATGGTTTAGGTTTTGCTCATTGTTGAAGGACGCATAGTGCTCGATAATTGTTCCCTTTTGTACTTTGAATTTGGCCTTTACAAATAATATCTCATTGGCAATCATACCATATCCCATTTTTATATGAGTAAGTATTGGCTACATATTAGTTCCTTAAAATGTGCGCAAATGTTCAGTGGAAACGTCATTGTGCACAATGAAAATGACCAAATTGTGAGCAAACAGGTTTTTACTTATATATTTATAGGAAAAAAACTATCAGAAAGCTAATGAATCTTTATTTATTTTGTATTTGTTTTCCTAATCTAAATGTAATTTCATCCCCTTCTTAATATTTCATGCATAAAATATAAATATATAAATTTGTAAAGTATATGAAAAAAATTTGCAAGTTATACACTGTCCACACTATGTACTATATTTGTAGACAACGAAAATCAAAGGACGATAACTGTGTCCTCAGATCCTAATAGGATAGAAAGACTTGACCAATTCTAATAAAACTTTGCATGACCTAAGCTTAGTTAACTATAAGATAGTTGGCCAAGTTTCATAGCCATAGGATATATATTATCGAAATAATGGTCATTTTAAATATTGAACTTTGGATGATTATTTTTGACATTTTAATCGAACAATTTCAACTAACAAGATTTGGGCCTAAAAAATTTAAATATTTCAAAAATTTGCTTTTTAAATGCCCTTTTATATAATGTATTATGTATTAAAAGCAACTGAACACTCATTGGATTTATCAGATTTATTACAATGATTCAAAAGTCAAATTTATATGAGCCTGTGCCTGAAAATGGAGATTTTCGAATTAAGGGATGACTTACATAAACATAGATTTTTTTTAACCAATTTAAAATTTTTGAAGTTTTTTTATCATAAATTATTCTTTCATATATATTTAATGAACTTTAAATGGAAAGAAAAGTTACAAATAGCATACCACATGAGTATAAAATGGTCTTATGCCATGTAAGACTTAGGCAGTAGCACATATTTACATATAAAAAAAGCATACAGAAGCTATAAGAAATAGATATTTGTTACTTTTTGCTCATTATGCTATGTTAAGATTTCATGATACAAGAGGTCTGAATGCAAAAGGACTCTTGCATTCAACTTTTTTTGCAGACAGTATGGTCTGATGCACAGTTTTTACACTTTTCAATGGAAAACTTGCATGTAGTTTTAGTCTCAACAGGCATATATTTTAACCACTTTCTATCCTAATGAAGAAAATATAGGTAGTATATGAAATGAATAAGTTGCACTTATTATTGTTAAGTGCTTTTATTACAGATTTGGTGAAATCGTATGATGGTCT